GATCTTTTAGTCCTAAAAATAGTTCATTGCAATATATTATCTGGACCACTTAATTTTAAGATTTTCTATAGATGATTGAACCATTTGGAGTTTAAAATTCGATCATTAGACATGAGAACATATTCTTAGGCCATTCTAAAAATGTTTTACTTCAAAATTACATCTTATAACACAATTTGGATGTACACCATACTATCTTCAAGAGAGAGAGATATTCTAGTGATGAAACCTAAAAGAAATGTATAAAGATTTCAAATATTAGTGATGAGCACCCTTATCAAATATCATCTACTAATCACATTATTAATTCTCAATTTTAAAGGCTAAAAGGAAGTCGAGGTAATGATATATTTTAGGATAAGGCATGGAAAAAGTTGAGTGTATGGCTAGGGTCAAATTAGCAATTGTTATTTGAGTGCTTAAAAAGTATCAAACTCAACTCAACTCAACCTCAATATTTTTTTAAAAATTTATCACCAGCAATTTAACCTCAAGGGATATTTGATTGGCAAATGTTGGGCCCCCAAATTGAATTTTTTGCATAATTACTCCATGTTGCAAAAAATTCCATTTGACTCTCTCTCCATCACCATTGCCACTATCACACCACCACCACCGCAACCACCAACACCACTACCTACGAGCCGCTGCTACAGCCAGGACATGACCACCACTGTCACACCACATAATAACAATTCATAATTCAAATTACAATAGTTAAACACCCATAGAGAGCAAATGATAATTGATCAAATAATTATTTTATCTTCGATCAATCAATATAAGTCTAATAAAACTTGGATTTTAAGCTCTAAAACAATTGTACTTTTTGATGTTTTATCTAATCCAGTCAAATTTTAAGTGCTCAAATATCTTCCACATTTGACGAGGACCGGTAATAGATTTATGTATCATCACAAGACTTTTCGATTCCAAAAGTACATTTTTGATAGGTTTTGAGGTGTGGCTTCACTTTTCAATTAAGGATGCGGTTTTTATAAGGCCTAGGCCTTATAAAAATAAAATAAAATGTAAAGCCTTATCTCAATAGCTCATCTGAAAAACACTTTGGACAATAAAGCTCCTGTAATGGGTCTGAAATATTTTTTGATAATTGAACAAAAAATTTGTAGCTCAAAAAATAATATAGCTCTCGTCGATTTGTCAACACTTGAAAATAGCCTGTCTAAATAATGTGTTGTAATATGCATAATTTTTGGGGCTGGAAATCCTTATTTTTTGGGGGATTGTATATTATAAGACCCTTGCTTTTGGTACAAGGATGTCACTATTATCTTTAGTCATCAAATATAAAATCCAACCGCTTAAAATACATCATATCGTTCAAAAAATTTTATTTTAGACTTTATGCCCAATCAATGACATACCTCTAGTAACCAAATTTCATATTAAATGGCGAACAATAATTGTGGCTTCCATATATCAAAAGTGAATGGTTTCACTGTATATATTTCCTTTTTCTTCGCAGCCAGACTAGATGTCAAGATATTCAATTTGAATGTTTTTCAATACTGCAACTATAATTTTCGATATGATCTCGAGATATGAATTTAAGTTTTTTTTTTTTTTCTTCCAATAAGGCCTAGTCCGTATTTTAGTCTTTTCGGCCTTAGACTTCACGTTTTTACCTACACAAAAAGAAATATTTTAAGGAAAAAATTTATATAGAGCCGAGGCTCTAAACAATTAAATTAGAACCCACCTCAAAAATTTCACTAGAAGAGATTGTTTTAATGCCCAAATAACTTCATATTTATCATCTCGACATAAAGATGCATAGACATGAGAAAAAAATGGATTTCAAGTTTTAGAAAAAGTGCATCTTGTAACACATTTTTGGACCGTCAATTTTCAAGTTTTCATATATTTGTTCGATCTACACTATTTTTTAAACTTTAAATTTGATAATTAAATATGAAAAAAATATTTTAAAGCTATCACAAAGATTCTCAAGATTGAAGCAATATTTCTCGATACTATTTCAAGGTGCACCCTATTTTGATTGTTTAGAGCCTCGGATCTATACAAACCGCACCCATATTTTAAAGACTTATAATCGAGTGTGTAGATACCTTATTCCAAACCTTTTGTTGTTGTGGAAAGCTGGAATCCTTGATTGAGAGGGCAAAGGGTAACCACTTGGTGCCTGTCGTGTGCATCTCCCTATTACTATTCTTAGTCAACTTCTTCCAACTATTAAGGACAAGAATAAAAGACTTTACTCCATAATTTAATGTTTCGAGCCAATAATTTAGTGTTGATTCATTTTATATTATTTTTTGCTTTTGATAACGACCTACACTTTGGTTAAGGTACCACCATGTATTTACAAGATTTGACTTTGTGTACGTATAGTATCAGGAACGTACCGTACTGTGTGTTTACTCCCACCGGTAAAAAAATCTATTCCTTATTTCTTTATGAATTTTAGGCCCCACTTTATGATCCTAGGAGAGGATCTTTAAGAAATTTTGAATTTTGTGTTCTTAAACATGATTATTTAGAAATGGGATAATCTCTAGTTAATTTTAAAAAGTATTTATTAGAGTTTAGGCATGTTGAGTTCAAATCTAACAATTGATGATAATTGTGATCTCTTTATATTAAAAGTAAATAGTCTCATTTTATACATTTTTTATATTGTAATTTGTAAAGGAAAAAGTTTATATAAGGTTGCAACTTTAAAATGTAAAACTATAGATGCACTTCAAAAATCTATCGAAAAATGTTGTTTTAATGTTGAAAAACACTATGATTGATCATCTCGACATGGAGATATATGATTATAAAATATAAAAAGAATTTTGAGTCCTAAAAATAATACATCCAACAGCACTTTATCTAGACCATCCACTTTCAAGATTTCCATATGTTTATTGATCAACTTGATTTTAACCATTTTTGGAGTTTAAAATTTACAGTTAGATATGAAAATATTTTGAGATAATTAATTCTAAAAATATTTTACATCAAAATTATATGCTATAATAAAATTTGGAGATCCACCTTAATTGGTTTGTTTAATGTTGCAACCTTATGGAAACCACACCCATTTGTAAATCAGAATCTTTTTTTTTTTCTTTTTTCTTTTTTCTTAAACGAAATTGCATTTCTCACATCAAACTCTTAACCCAATTTTTATAAGTGGTGAGGCTTGGACATCTAATATCTGACCCATTCTTTCACTAAAAAGAACAATAGGCATGTTCAGACATCTAATGTCTGAAGCCCATTTGTATTTTTTGAATTGGGAAATGAGTCATGGGCACTTGTGTTTTTCTAAATGTGGGGTGGGATAGGAAATCTAGCACCAAGTTTAGAATCAAATGTTTGAATCCATTCCCCACTTAAAAATAAAGAAAGATAAATTTACTACATATCAGGAAACGATGTAGTATTACTGTATGATCAATACTTTTTGGGCAATGTTACATTCAACTCATTCTTTTAAAAATATATATTGTATTGGGTTTGCATAGAGCCTAGGCTCTAAACAATCAAATTAGAGCCTACGTTCAAATAGTGTCGAGAAATGCGGTTTCAATACTGAAAATCTTTGTAATAGCCTTAAAATATATTTTTATATTTATTTATAAAGTTTAAAACTTCAAAAATAGTATAGATTGACAAATCTATGAACACTTGAAAATATTGAAAATTGACGTTCCAAATATGCATTACAAAATACACTATTTCCAAAACTTAGAAATCCATTTTTTCTCATATCCATGCATCTTGATGTCGAGATGATCAATTTGAAGATATTTGAGCATCAAAACAACCTCTTCTAGTGAGTTTTGAGGTAGGCTCAAATTTAATTGTTTAAAGCCTCGGCTCTATGTAAACTTTTTCCTTATTTATAACCATACGATATGATATTTAATAGCTTGAGTGTGTCACAAAGTATGAGGAAATTTCTTTTAAACTTTTAGCTTGGTCAATAGAATAAATGTAACCACCCAATTTCATATACAACGGTCAACATTAATTATGACTATCTTGTACTAAAGATACCTTACTTGTACCTATTCCACAATTGGATGTTCAAAAAATCCATATTCCATGATTGGACGTCCACACCAAAGGTACCTTGAGAATGGTAAACAATAAAAAGTGGGCTAGAGCCCAAAATAAAAATAATCTATGGTCTTTTTATTAAAGGTAAAAATTTATATAAAGACAATGCTCAAAACAATCAAATTAAAGCGCACCTAAAAAAAATCACAATTAGAAGTTGTTTTGATATTGAAAAACCCTCAATTTAACCATCTCGATCTCAAGATGTACAAACATCAGATAAAATAAAAAAGCTTGGAAATAGTGCATCTTTTGTTCAATTATCTAGACTGTTAATTTTCAAAATTTTCATCTGTTCATAGATCTGCTCAATATACATTATTTTTTAATTTTAAAATTTAATAATTAGATATAAAAATAAATATTTTGGTAATATTTAAACGTGCATTTAAGACCTCAACCTTAAATAAACCATAATTCCCATGTTAAAGAGGTTTTTTTTTTTTTGGTAAAATTCCCTTCATTTTGAAAGAAACTTTTACAACTTTTTTGTTTCCATTTCTTTAAAAGCTATAAAAACGAGTTTTACAACTTTTTCCCTTTAAAAGCTATAAAAAAACGATTAAAAAATCCCTTTCATACAAAACTCCATTGCTTGCGCACCGTCCAATAAACACGTGTCAGTCAGTCGCGTAAGGCGGCATGGAAGGGTTTGAACGGTTCCGATCTTCCCATTCGGTTGAGAACGGTGAGATCGCACAACCTTTGAAATCGTGACCGTTGGTACATTCCTCCCGTTTTATATTATGTATTTTACCCGCCTTGCGTTGGCGACTACTCTTCCTGAACTATCGTGTTCCTTCCTACTTCCTACGCGTATAAAAGAGAAAGCTTTCTCTCTCTGTTACCTAAATAATTTAGAATTCTCTCTCGAGCGTTAAACGGAACTCCCTCTCTCTCTCTCTCTCTCTCTCTCTCTCTCTAGCATTGATTCAGAACTCCCTCTCTCTACCATTAGTAGACAAGTTTCTCTCTCCTACTTTTAAGAAGAAGCTTTCGAGACTTTCCCTGCTTATAAGAATCTCTCTCCTCCAATTTCCAACGGGACTTTCTCTGCTGGGGTCCCTCTCTCTCTTCCAATTTTCAAAGAGAAGCTCTGCTTGAGTTTCTCTCTCCTCTCTTTCTCTCTAAATTTTTTATTGAGTAGCTCTGCTTGAGTTTCTCTTTTGACATATATTAAGGTTCCTCTAGTCTCTGTCTCTCTCTCTGTCTCTCTGTTTACCATGGATTCGACCTCCTCTCCGCTCTGTATGAACACTGTAGATATCTCTGGTGTTCTAAGGCACCAAACATCGAGACCCAATTCAAGGTTGTCAAAAATAGCGAATTTCTCGCTCCCAATCTCTTCTTTCTCTCTTTACAGAGCACCCATCAGCGCCCCAATTGCTCCCCTCTCCAGCCACTATGGTTTCAGAGCTTCCATATCGCAACACAGTTCAGAACTTTTGAAATTGGGTCAAGTTCAGAGCCAAAAAAGCAGGAGGAGGTTCTCGGTTTCAGCTGTTTTCGAGAGATTTACAGAGAGAGCAATCAAAGCCGTGATGTTTTCCCAAAAGGAAGCGAAGAGCCTGGGCAAAGACATGGTCTTTACCCAACATCTTTTGTTGGGTTTGATTGCAGAGGATCGAAGCTCTGACGGGTTTCTCGGCTCTGGCATAACAATTGAGAAGGCACGAGAAGCAGTCGTTAATATTTGGAGTGAGAGCTCTACACCCATGGCTGATTTGGGCGGTGCAGCTTCTGCAACCGATGTGCCTTTCTCATTGAGTAGCAAGCGTGTTTTTGAGGCAGCAGTCGAGTATTCGAGAAATATGAATTACAATTACGTTGCACCAGAGCACATTGCAGTCGGGTTATTCACTGTTGATGATGGCTCTGCTCTCAAGGTCATTGAAAGGTTAGATTCGTAGCTTTATCTGATCAAATTTTCCATGAAAGGTTATTCTTTTTCTGCATCTATAGATAGAGAAAACCCACCTTGAACTTGAAGAAAACGAAAAGCAGAACACTGAGTTTTATATGTTGAAATTATTCCTTGAAAAGTTAAGTATCTTTACTTTCCTTGAAGTGAGAGTAGCCCCCACTTTTTGAGTTTTGCCTGAATCAGTTTATTTCATAAAGGAGAAACAGTATTCAGAATGGGAATCATATGTTTACCCAATGTGCAGAAGCTCAGAATAACACGAATATTCACGAATCATCGAGAGTAGGCAATGGCATAAGTATGCAATGAACCAGCCTATAAGAGACAATACTTGGTATACTTTATCTTAAGATGGTAGGGTGTGGAAAAGAAAAAAGATCTTGAAGGCTTAAAATTTTAAAATTCTGAATCCATTGTTTATTATATCTCCCAATCTGTAGCCACCAGAATTCAAATATTGGTAGCTAGATTTTATACCATGTAATAAAGCGGAATCACTTGTACATCTCCTTGGTTTGCTATCTAAGTGTTAGCATTCTCCATTAGCCTTGTGAATCTCATACGATTCTATATGAAACTAATGTCTGTCTCATCAATAATGAATTAAATCATAATTCTATAATTTAACTTGTTAGAATCTTTGTATGCAATGCACATTATCTTACTTTGTGATGATCTTTATAAGTGATGTACTTTTACACTGTTAGAATGGATATTATGAGACAACCTTTGACTCTTGAATCCTCTTTCATCTCGCTTAATATTGCAATATCATGGATTTTATGATTGTAGATTGGGCGTGGACCCGGACCACTTAGCATCTATTGCAGTCACGAGGCTTCAAGGTGAGCTAGCCAAGGACGGTAGAGAGCCATCCATTTCGTCAAACAAGCCTCGTGAGAAATCAACTCCTGGCAAGAGCTCTATCTCAAGAGTCTCGGATAGAAGGAAAGGTCGGTTCTCTATGGGTCTGGATTTTATGGATGTAAATTTTATCAAATTTAAATAATCATATTTCTTTCAGTGGTTCCTTATTTGGATTTTTGAATAAGAATCTTGGATGGAAGTTTTTTTTCTTTGGTCATTTTCCTTTTACATACGGAAGATATACTCATGAAATAATCTTTGGATGAAATTTTATTCAAAACTAAAAGCCTGGCCTTGACAACTAAGTTCAACTGTACATTAATAGAGGAAATGTATATCATAGCCTATGGGACTATGGTATAAGGTACTCCGAGCTCCCTCTTCTGCCTGTTCCATTGACTAGTGGCTTGAGATTAAATGCACCTGGGTGAATGTACCTTCAAACTCTTCTCTAGTTGATCTCCAACCATCCATCAATTGGAATGGAAAGTAGCCTTGGTGTCCTGATGCCATAGTCCGTGACGATGGCTCTTCCCCAGTTTTTGAAGTATTTGATCCTTGTGCATATGTTTGCATAGTTCCTATACTTTGTCCCTTCATTTAGCTATTTATGTGCAGAGAAAAGTGCATTGTCTCAATTCTGTGTGGATCTCACTGCTCAAGCTGGTGAGGGCCTAATTGATCCTGTAATTGGGAGAGACAAAGAGCTCAATAGAGTTATTCAGATCCTTGGACGAAGAACAAAGAACAATCCAATTCTTTTAGGAGAACCAGGTGTCGGGAAAACTGCTATTGCTGAAGGCTTGGCTAACCATATTTTGAACGGAGAGGTTCCCTTGTTTCTTTCGGTATGCTACTATTTACTTGTC